TATTTAAATCAGTTGTAGTATAAGGGTTTTATGTCAATCCATGGGGAGTTGTTGAATACAAAAGAGTTGCAAGCAGAAATCCTTAAGTCAAGCAAGCAAATAGGGTTTTTTGTAACTAAACTAACAACCTAAAGTGATCAATAACCAAAAAGAACTCTAAAAGAGACAGTTTAGCAATGATCAAAGAAGCAAAACAGAGTAAATGGCAGAGCAAATAGACAAATTCGAAATTCAATCAAAGAGAAAGCAAGTTCCTAGATGTGGTTATTGATTTTGGGGGAATTCAGAGACTAACTAAGGTTGTTTCAAACAGCATTGATCAAGCAAACAAGCTAACAATGGTGGTTCCTAGACATAGAGTTCACAAACAAGCAAGTTAAGTCTAATCTCTTGATAAATAGCCCTTTGCTAAACACCTTAACAAGAACTAACTCTCATTAGTGCTAAAACATTCAACAAGCATTAATAATCAACTCTATTCATGTCAAAATGCTCCTCAAACAGTCAATCTCTTGAGCCAAGGCCAGCAAATCCTCTATCAAACAAGATCAGCATTTCATCAAACACTTGGTGGGCATAAGAGAAAGCTCAAATCCTAGATAAGTGTGATCAAGACAAATCTAGCTTAAAAACAGATCAATAGAGAGGAACCCATGTTATTAATCTACCACATCTAAGAACCCTAAGCAAACTACTCACTAATACTCATGTTTAACATCAAATCACAAGAGGAAAAGATCCTAATCATGATAAATGAGAAATTAAGGAAAGATTAATGGCAAATACAAACTTATACTAAATAAAAAAAAGAAATTTATCTTACAAACTCAGAAAAATAACTCAAGAACAGTGATGACATGATTGCTCGAAAATCCTCAAAAAAGTAGTATTTATATATAAAAGAAGGAAGCCCTAAAGTAATGACAAAAGCGTAATAAAAGGCAGCTCCGGACTGGGTTCCTATCCGTCAGTTGTGATCGATAGGGTGAACGACAGGAATCCTATCGGTCTAGAAGGTGACCGATAGGGTGACCGGAATCCTCACGCTGAACTTCTATCGGTCACTTCTTTGACCGATAGGCTTGGTCGATAGGAATCCTATCGGTCTATAAGGTAACCAATACGGGTTGAGCGGTTTCACGAAAACTTCTGTAACTTCCTAACCGCTGATGTGAATGACCTGAAACTAATTCCAGCACGATACCTCACGGGGATACAATATTCATGCAGACTGTTGAAGCTGAATCGGGTTGGAGATGCTTTGTCCAAGCTGGGTTTGTCAGGTGAAATTTCTGGCCGCTTCAACAATGTGCACCTTCTTCTTGGCTCTTTTTATGTCTTGTGCTGCACCCACCATCATCTCACATGCTCCTTGTAGTCTCAAAACTCTCCAAGCATACCTGCCAATCTCCTCAAATGCACAAAACATGCAATGCTCACCCTAAATCTACACGTAGTCCTAATTGAATGCAAATGGGACAAAAACAAGCAAAAATGAATGTTTAAAGACTATAAAACAATGCAGAATATATGATATAATATGGTGTAAATAATGAGTATATCAATGGGCACCATCAAATTTGCACATAGTTGTCCAGAAGATAGTAGTTGTACCAGATTTTGCATATTGTTTTACTTTGGGTGTTTTCTATTATAATTAGTATTACCTAACATCACAATTTTCGTTTCTATTTTTACAGTTAATTTTAGTCGATTAACATATAATTGTGACTCAATTCCTCAAGTCTTATGATCATGTCATTGTAGCACTTAAGGTGTCAATCCAATCAGGCATGTGAATCATTGAGAATACATTAATGAATGAAAGCTAAGCCAAGTAAAAGAAGTTGTTTAGAAGTCTATCATCCTAAGTGATCAATCAAAAGAGTGAAAGAAAATAATAGACTAGAGGGCAAGACAAGTAACTAAGCAATTTGAATTCAAGAAACATAGCAAACATAGGAGAAAACAGGGGAAATTGGAATTTTAACAAGCATGTGTCTTAGGATGGGGTTATTGATCCAACAATGAAATAGCAGTGAATCCTTGATGTGCAAACTCAACTAATAAGACTAATCCTTCCGCATAGGACTCTAAACATGAAGATCAGTCTAATCTCTTGACAAAGATCTCTTTACTAACAACTTAACCAAAGCTAATTCTCATTAGTGATCAAGCAGTTAACAAGCCTTAAACATCAGTTCTATCAAGCCAAAATACTCCCTAGTCAACAATTCTCATGTGTAAGGATACATAAATCTCCTATGTGACTGGTGTAAGCATTTCATGAAACACTTTTGGTGCAGTGAAAGCCCAGATTCGAAATCCTAGTGATTTGCAAGGATCAAACATTAAAAACATCAAGAAGGAAATGATCAATCATATTAAGCACTAAATATCAAAGATTAATCACTAACTCATCATGGATCTAACCAATCCTAAGAACCCTTAAAGAACTACTCAAAACACATAGATAACCTAGCTAAATCATAGATTAACAAACAGAAAATATAATTAAAAGCAGTAGAAGGATGATCAAAAGCAGAAAATGCAAACTCTTAATAGAAACTCAAAATATTGCTTACAAACACTAAGAATTCTGGATAATAGTTTAAGACCAAGAGAGAGAGAGAGAGAGAATGTTTAGATCTGAAAAATCATAAAAGTTAAGATAATGAAAGATAAGATTAATTGTTGATAAGGTTTGCTTAAATAGTCAAAGGTTAAGGCTTGGTCAATGGTCAAAACTCAGAAGTTGACCAAAGTCAAAACCGGAGAAAAACCAAAGGAAGGAGGGCGCCATCATCACACTAGGGAGTACAATCTGGTGTGAGTGTCCGCTGCTACTCCTCGAAGTCTCGGGATGATTTATACCGAGGTATAAACGCCGCTGTGAGTGCCCGATGCAACTCCTCGAAGTCTCGGGATGATTTATACCGAGGTATAAACGCCGCTGTGAGTGCCCGATGCAACTCCTCGAAGTCTCAGGCTGATTTACACAGAGGTATTGACACCAGTTCAGGTGTCCAGTGCAACTCCTCAAAGTCTCGAGCTGATTTCCACCAAGGTATAGAAGTCTCGGGTTAATTTGCTCTGAGGTGTAGACGCTGATGAACTGCCTGATGCAAGTCACTATTCTTGCTTCGCTTCCTTTTGCTCTTTTCCATCCATCAACATGAACTCCACTTGATCAGAAGGTCTCCACAGCTCCATAGTACCTGAAATACACTCCAAATGCAACAAAACATACATTCCTAATCCTAATCTTAATAACTCTGCTATGAAGGCAAATGGGACTCTTTGGACTATAAAATGGATGATATGCAATGGGAACTATACTAAATGAGACATAAAATGAGGCAGTAATGCAGGCTATCAGGCTGGATTCTCACCTGTTTATCTTGCGTGAAGTGCTACTCTCAGGTACCTACTACGGCTTTGGTGAAGATTTCGTTGGGTTGCGAATTTATCTGTTTTCGAAGATGAGAAGGTATTGTGCTGACCAAAGGGACCAGCAGATCCACACAAAGAGGGAATTTATTTGTAATCCCGGAGGTAGTGGTATTGTTGTCTTGGAAGGATTGGGAGAGATTCAACTCATCTCGGAGGCTGCTTGCCAAGCCCTCTACGCTAAATCGCATTGGAAGAATAAGTGAGTGACCGTTTCTGGTAGTTCGTATCTTATGCAGTTTGTATTCGATAGGAGGCCTGTTATCGCAGGATTTTCACCAATAGGTAATACATTTTGTATGATTTTCCATCGAAAGAGCTTCAGCTTGGGTGAGAAGTTCCCTGCCCAGATATGTCGGGTCCAATTGAAATTTTTAGCCCCTTGGGGTTGTGTGGTTGATGAGAGATTCACTTCTCTCCTAGCGGGGTATCCCGAACGTGTAGTGTATTCTCCGTTTGCTTGGGGTAGTGACACAATATCGAGAATAATATCAACATTGGGACAGAGGATCACTGGACATGATGGTCTAGCCAAGGGTAAAGGAGAGACGATCTCCTTTGGAGAATATATCATGAATAATGGAGAGACTATTTTTGATGATTTGTTTTTTCTAGACCTCAATCCTTCCATGCATTCAGACTCATCCCAGACTTGGAGAGCATACTGAACTCACCTAGAGTTCACCACGAAGAAGAATCAGCTAAAAAGGAGTCCATATGAAGAAGATATTGAACATACAAGTTGGCAGATCTTCAATGAACCCGCTGGAGACATGCGACCAGTAAATATATCATTCCGGCCAAACGAAGACGATTCAAGCAACAAAGCTGGATGTTTTGGAAACTTCACTCATCAGAGAACCGAGGCAAATTGGATTCATACCAAAATTCGTCATGGGGATGACTGGTTTAGCCACTACTACCGCAAACGCTGCGTTTGCGGTAAATAGCGATTGGTAGCATTTCGAAACAATCACCCTAACCGCTCCGTACTGCTTTGTACCGCTTTATACTGCTGAAAATCAAAAGCCCATTTATACATTCGCGGTAGCGGAACGTTAGGGCTGGAAAAAAATAAAAAAATAATAACAATAACTACTAATTAGGGCATCGACTCCTAAACCTATATCTTTCGTATTCTTCATAAAAATTTATATCTTTCGTCTTCTTCATAAAAATCTACCTATTTCTATATCCTTCGTCATCTTCATAATTATCATGGCTTCAATACACACCGAAGAAAGCCAAGATACGAACGTAAGTATTGTTTTCTATTAATGATTATGCAATGGTTATTATGGTTCTTTGCCTTTTTTATTCTCTTTCTTTCTCAGTTTTAAGAGTTTTAGATCTATAGTTTATGATTCATATGTGTATATTTTGGTATTTAGATATGTGTTTATATTGGATTTCAAATAGAAACTCCAATGGTCGGACGAGATGACCCGTTTGTTGTTGGATTTGATAACTTTACAAAAACAAGCTGGGAATTCCAAAGGCAAAAGTTTGAGTGAGCAGGGAAAAAAAATGTTTTCACAGAATTTAAAAAGATGTTTCCTATTACCCTAAATTGGAACAAAGTTAAGAACAAGCTAGACAACTTAAAAAAGCAGTATGAACTCTATCATAAAATCATGTTTGGATCAACTGGTCTTGAATTCAATCCCATGACAGGAAGTCTTGATGCACCAGATCATTGTTGGAAAGACAAAATCAAGGTAAATATACATTCATTATTTTAAGCTTTTGTTTCGTATACACGTTTTGAATAATTTTTTTTTGTTTTTGGTTTCTAAGACTTATCCTGAAGCTTCGAAACTTCGCTCGAAGCCACTACGATGCATTCCGCTTCTTCATGTGGTTTTTGGAGATAAAACTGTCGTGGTTGAGGATTCATGGCAACCGAGACCTGGTGCACACTCTTGTGCTCCACCAGCAGACTTAAGTGAAAACGACAGTCTGAACAACAATGCAGATGAAAGAGAAGATCCAACTCAGAATAATTGTCTGCATCCTGGAGATGAGTGGTTCGAACAAGTTCCGATGGAATTTTCTCCAAATTTGAACGAAACAGATCCGTCGTTGGCATCGCAACCTAGTTCTTCCACACACACTCAAGTGAAAAATGTAACTCGTAAAAGAAAGCGTAAGAGCAATTCAGTAGATTCGACGCTCGACCGTATTGCTTCGACTATGGAAGAGCGGAATGATATTTGGGAACACATGACATCATATAAGTCTAAAGAGTCAACAAACTCAACTGAAGAACGCATGGCTCTTGTTGTCAAGTATGTAAGGGTGGTACCTGATCTAGTTCCTATGACAGAGCTTTATTGGGCATCTCTCGATCTAATTGCAACAAATGACGTTGTGCGGGGATTATTTCTTGCTCTTCCAGATGCTGAAAAGTTACCTTTTCTGAAGCGCCAAACCAAGGAGTCTCGTAATGACTTCTTTGATGCTTAGCATATTGGTCTCATTTCATGAGAATTTTGCTTTTGTGTTTGCATTTTATTTATGACAAAGAGTATCTACTTCTGTTTTGGATTTAGTTTAATTATTGTTGGTTTATTTTCATGGGAATTGTGCTTTCTTCTTTGCATTTTATTTTGCATTTTATTTATGACAATGAGGACAATGAGTATCTAATTCAATTTTGAAATTAGTTTAATCAAAACCTGTCTTTTGTTTTAGAATGTGTTGTTTTGATTCAGACTTAGGTGACAAGAAATTAATTTTGTTTCAGGAAGCAAGTGATATGGAGTTGAATACAATCAAAGAAGTTATAGATGCAGATGAGCAAGCGATTGAGGCAATAATTTTTATTGACCGTCTTCGTTTTTCCCAAAGAGAGCAGTTGAGAACAGATTCAGAACGTGGACAACGAATAATGCATCAGCTAATGTATGAGAGTCACACACAATGCCTCCATGTTTTACGTATGTGACAAAGAGTGTTTCTTAAGCCCTTAGATAAGCTAAAAAATATGGTCTTAAAGATTCTCATCGGGTAAGATCTGAGGTTGCTCTAGCAATGTCACTCAAGATTTTGGGGCATAATCCATCACGAAAGATTATAGCAGCAAATTTTCAGGTTGCACAGTGGACAGTTACAACAAAATTTAATGATGTTGTTAACACCTTATGTTGCTTGCACTCAGACATCGTTTCATGGAAAAGAGAAGAACTTAATGCCCTACCACAACGAATCATGCATGATAAGAGGTATTTTCCATACTTTGAAGATTGTATTAGAGCCATAGATGGTACGCACGTTCGTGTACGTGTGGGTGGCAATAAGAAGATCACGTACTGGAGTTATCATAATTACACATCAATGAACATTTTGGCAGTGTGTGATTTCAATATGAAATCTATATACACACGTATTGGAGTTCCAGAACGCACACACGACTCAAAAATATTGACATATTGTGCACGCCATGATGATTACTTTCCATTCCCAAGCTCGGACAAGTATTTTCTTGTGGATTCTGGTTATCCTAACAGAAGGGGTTCTCTAGCTCCCTATAGAGGTGAGGCCTACCATCCAAATCATTTTGCTGGACGTAGACCGACCACTCTTCGAGAGACATTCAATAAGAGACATTTCTCTCTTCGATCCGTAATTGAAAGAACGTTTGGAGCGTGGAAGAGGAAATGGTCTATTTTAGAAGGTCGGGTTTGTTACGGTGTGGAGATGCAGGAAACGATTGTCGCAGCAACTATGGCATTACATAATTTCATTCGAGATTCTAATTCAGAAGATACTCACTTAAATACTGCTGAATGAACTGAGGATTATGATGTTGATCCTGTAGGAAACACGTCTCCTTCTCATGATGATCTTGGAGTAAACCAAAATTATGATCCGACAGCTGATGTGTATATGTCAACAATTAGAGATGCTATAGCGCGAGATATATGGGATCATCGTTAGATAACTCTTAACATTATATTTTCTGTTTGTAGTTGTTTCGTTTTACTCTGTTTCAGGAGATGTTTTAGATGATACAAAAATATGTGGCACCCTTTTCGAGTTTAGCAGTGACTCTTTGAAACATTTCTGGTTTTTTTCCCAAATAAATTAGATTTGCATCTATCACGAATCTTTTATGTTTACTTAATAACTTATTATATAAGTCAATCCATCTCAACCTAATACACGTATCTTCGTATCCTTTTTAACCTTGCGCGTGTGTGGTACTTCAGCTAGTAATTGAGGAGAAAGGAGCGGAATATCATAAGAAGAGGTTTCTAAGTGCACTACAAAAAGATAATATTCTCAAAAATATTAAAAACGAGCTTGGAGTTGATTTGGGTTGGTCTCACGTTATATACCGTTTGAATTTTTAGAAGAAACATTACAATATGTTTAGGAAAAATCCGGAAGATCGACATCTTCTACCAAATTTTCATTAGTTCATCATGTTACTTGAAGCAATTTTTTTTATGATAGCCTGAATATATAAAGTAGTAGGCATGTTACTATGGAATTTATTTATTTTTGAACAATTATTTAGTACTTTATTTATGATATTTTAATTAATCATTATTAGTTTATATATTTTAGATATTATGTTTTCATATTTTTTATTATATATTTTTTTAACCGTTTGTACACCCGCTGGCTAACCAGTTAAAAATGTCCCGCAAATACATCCGCTCTTAATTATTATACCAATCCTACAAACCATTGGTTAACGCTGTTAACTGTAACCGTCCGTTTCCGCAAACTCCCGCAACCGCTGCGTTTAAACCAGTCATGCCCTTAATTTCTAAACCAAGGTACTCTCGACTTGCCTTATTTGGAACCTTCTGAGTTTGGAAAACTCGAAACATATCTTTGGCGACCAGGCAATATTCTCCATCAACTAGAAGGTTCAATAATGTCACTAGCTCCACTAAAACGCACAGGATCATTTGGGATTATTCAAAGAGCCTCTTCCCTTACTTGGACACAAAAGCATTCAACACATTCACATTTGGAGCCTTTACTCTCCAACGGCTCTCTTGGCTACGCTGCTGCTTTGTGGATGTCTTCTTTACCATCCAGAATGTGCCAGAGAATCTCAATTATCCCCTCAAACCGTTCAGATACAAGAAGACCTCAGTTTTCATATTTTTGGCCGATTTCCTCATTATGGCCCAACAGCTAGTTTTTATTCAATGCTTTGATTTTCTTTCTTGTTTCTACATTTTAGACCGTGAGTTTACTCATGTAAGAGCTCTATATAAAGCTCATTTCGTCCTTTGTACAAGGCACCTTTGAATTTATATTTTAATAAACATAAGTTATTTTTTCAAAGTAAGGTCTTTGAAGTTGTTTCTCTGTTCTTTAGTTCTTAAGTGTGTGATTCACTTTGGTTCTATTTAAGTAATGAATCTGATTATTTGTGTTATTCAAACACTCTAGTTCGACCACTGATTGAGCGAGTCAGTCACCCTCCATCATCCACATCTATCATCATTTCCACCTTCCGCAAGTTTAAGCTTGGAATCTCTTGATCATTGAGTGATGATAAGTTGGAGTTATTTTGTGTTTGTTATTTTTGTTTTTTTACATAAAACAAAAAAAAAATCCATAAAAATTGCTCTTGTTTATTTTTTTAATTTCTTTGCTTATAAATCAAAAAACCAAATAAAAATATTTGTTTCAGTCTTTTTAAATTTGTTTCATATAAGAAAAACCATTAAAAAAAACTTTTCCTTTTTTGTTAGATTAATTTTCAGAATTTATTTAGTTAAAAGAAAAGGAATTTTCCATTTATTTGCTTTTGCTTTAACTCTTTACTTCCTTTTGCGTTGATCCAAGTTTATTCACGTCCTCTTCCTTTTATATCTTTTACAAGGTACCAAAAGAAAGAGATAGAAGAGAAGACATGGCTGACATTGAAGAAGACGGCTCTCACTTATCTGAAGAAGATACATGGAGCCAAGGAGAAGAAAGCCTAGCTTTTTCCGATGAGGAGGCTAACGATGAGGTACCATCATGTCCAAGAGATGACTACTCAAGCTTTGACTTTGAAGAAGAGCCTGAGCGTGAAAATTTTGAACCAGAACCGCCAGATTATAGCCATGACAACATAAGCTGTGGATTAGAGAAGAAGAAGCCGATCAAGAAGAAGGACATGAAGAGACTAATTCTCAATTCAATCTAGGAAAAGGAGACCACGAAATTGAAGCTGAACATGAAGAATTCAATGTTGAAGACCATTTTGTGGAGCCTTATACACATGAGGAAGAAATCAGCTCTTACCATGAAGACAAGCCATGGTGTAATCAGTTTAGAAGAAACTTAGCAGAATGGTGAAAAATGTGAATACCAAGATGAGTATGCTTATGAGAATGAAAACAGCAATCAGGTTGAGAGATGGGAGGAAGATGAGCTAGGACGTGGTGACATGGAGCCAGCACCACCAGACTATACTTCACATTGTTACACCTACTATTCAGAAAACAACCAAGGTAATAGTTGTGAACAATTTGATTTTCAACTAATAACCTTTTCAGGTCATAAACAAGGACCAGAAGCCTATATAAAATAGGAGAGGGAACTTGAGTATTGGTTTCGGTTCTACAACATCCCAAAAAAAGAGACACTAGCAAAAGCTGTTAACTCACTTATTGGAGAAAATTCTTCATGGTGGACAAGTGAAGAACTTATGTCCCACTACAATAAGCCAATTCTAACTTGAGGAGATTTCAAGTAGCGAATGTACAGGGAGTTTGTACTGAGGTTCCACAACCAGAGCTACACCCCTAAGAGTCTTATGTTTCAGAAAATTACAAGAGAGGCTAAGAAACCAATTCAGGTGATGGAGGCTCAACAAAATTTGATTGTTATACCCACGCTTCAACTTCAAGGAAAACCACTTCAAGGTAAGTCCTCTAACTCTAGCTCTGTAAAATTAAAAGAACCAACATGCTATAGATGTCACAAGAGAGGGCACTTTGCTGCAACTTGCCCTGAAAGACAAGTCATAAAATCAACATCACTTGAACCGAATTTGAATTTATCTAAGTTAAGTGCTTGTCTTGATAAAACAAGTTTTAATTTTTCCAATTCTAGTATAATGCACATGTCGTTGCCCAAAGATGTTCCTACAGGTTTTGATCATATCATAGAGCACACAACCAAGGGAATAAGCCCCAATGAACCTATACACGAGCTGAATGAACCAGTAAACCAATATGAAGGGGTAGACATCAAAAACAAGCTCACCAAGGAGTTTAATCAAGTAAGTAGTCCTTTCATTCAATTTAACTTCAATGATTCAAGGGTTGTGTTAATAAGTTTGTTAAATACAGAATAGTATGAAGAAGATTTAGTTTCTTTAGATAATTCTAAGAATCAAAATCATTTTCTAAAAACACAAACAAGTATGGAACAACTGAAAATCAAATTTGATAAAATGTTTTTGGTATAATCAAATCCCAACACACTCATGTCATCAGCAGTTCACTTAAGTTAAGCCAAATTCAAGAAAACAGGAGTGATCAAACACTAATGATTAAGCTAAACAAGTCTAAGCAGTGCAAATTCAAAGCAAGATATTCAAATAGATGAAAGCAAGGATCTAAGATGGGGGTTACTGACTAAGAGGGGATTAGAACCAAACTAGTGATGCTTCAAAACCATTCAAACAATGCTATCTTCTAAGCATATGATTTAACAGCTATTATAAGCCCAATTCCTTGGCACTAATCACTTTGCTAAACACAAGTCCTAGACAATTTCCATTACTGAACATATGATTAGCAAGTATTCAAACAGAAATCCAATCCTAAAAAGCTAAAATGCTCCTTAGACATCTGATCCCTTAGGCTAAGTAAACAAATCCTCTAAAAGATTCATTGCAGCATTTCATCAAACACTTATCAGGCATAAGAAAAAGCCAAGATACTAAACAAGCTTGGCCAAGACTAATCTAGTGTTAAGCACATTTAATAGAGAGAAGACAATCATATTAAGCATAAGACATCACTAATCTAATCCTAAAACCCTTCTATTATATCCCATCTCAAACCCTAAATAAGACTACTCACTAGTTGATATCTCATACATTTGCATCATTTAGGCTTGAATTTAGTGCATGTTTTGGTTCTCTTTTGCATGTTTTCCTTCTCTTTAATCCCATTTTCTTCTCTTTTTAGACTTAGGTTGCATTTAGGATATAGTTTGCATTTTCTATGCATCAAGGATGTTTTTAGGTACTTATGGAGCTGAATGGAGCAATGAGGAAGTGTGGGAGCGGATCAGAAGGCTAGCCAAGCCAAGAAGGAGCAAAAGAGTCAAGGAAAGCAATCTCTGGAAGTCCATCTATCAAGTCTTCAAGACCATCGTTCACTCAAGACCGATAGGAGGCCATCGATCAAGACCATCGGTCAAGGAGTGACCGATGGGAATGCAGCGAGTATACCCTCGATCACTCTCCTCAGGACCATCGGTCAAGAAGTGATCGATGGGAGGCTATCGATCAGACCATCGGTCAGGAAGTGATCGATGGAAACCCAGCGAGTATACCATCGATCACTCTCCTCAGGACCATCGGTCACTTTCTGATCGATAGGATCCAACCCTAACTTGCTTTTATTTACACTTTTGTCATTCTGTTAGGGCATTTGTCCTTTAGTATAGATAGCTTGTTTTAAGAATTTTTAATATCAAGCTTTGTTCTAAGTTTTCTGTTCTTGGCTGATTTTTCTGGTTTTGAAAGACAATCCATCTTTTCTTAATCAAAGTTTGTATTTGTCTTTAATTTTCTCTTTAATCTCTCTCTTAATCAAGTTTAACATCTTTACTCTTTGTGATTTGATGTTTAACATGGTGATTAGTGAGTAGTTACCTTAGGGTTTTAAGATGTGGTAGATTAGAGAATTTAGAGGCTTGATTAGGGTTTGTTATGAATGATTCCTCTCTATTGATCTGTTCTTAAGCTAGATTTGTCTTGATCAAATGAATCTAGAACTAGGCTTCATTTTATGCCCACCAAGTGTTTGATGAA